GTGTCTCCTTCTCTGTCGTGTGTCCTCCCCCCTCCTTGTCGGAGCTCTCCGTCTTCTCTAACAAACTCTCTGCTTTGCTTCTCCCTCGCCCCCCCCACCCCCGGGCTTCTGCTTTGTGGATGTTGGCTGCTTCTTATTGTGACGGGAGAATGTGTGTGTGTCCCGGGCCCAGGCGGATCGGTACGTATCTCGGGTGGGACCCGGGGAAGGGGCTGCAGGGCTGGGCCGTGTCCCGGGGCCGAGACCTGGCCACAGGGAAGGATTAACGGTGCTGCTCGTGTCGGATGTTTCTTGTTCCTTCTCTCCAACAGGCTAATTCATTCGGCTCCGTCCAGTGTCTGAAAGGCACCTGGGGTAAGAGTTTTTACCTGAAGCCATGGGTGTCTTTGGCACAGTTAAGGCAGGTGTTTTGGAGTGGCTTGTCTGTGCAGCATCAATTAGCCTTAATAGTACAGCTGTAACAAGCCTTTATTAAAGCAAGGGGTAATTCTTTCTCTTTTACTATAAACCCCATAAATTGACTACCTGACTCATTACTGGTCATATTCTATTTGTAGCCTGAAAAGTAGTGTTCATACTCTGTTCTGGGGTTGGAGATGTATTTAATACTGGTTTGATTCTAATCTCTTGACAAATCTTGATTGGATTGTAAAATTTCTGCTTAATCTCTTTTTATTCTCTGCCATGTCTTGGTCAACTGTAATGAACTTGGGATCTTTATTCAAGGGCTAGCAGGAGTATATGGTTATATTTGGGGCATCCATGTTGTGGGAATAAATGGAAGAAACTTAAGATGATTTCACTTCAGGTTGGCAAACTTGGAATTTCTATTTTATTTAACTAGGAGTTATTAAATCTGATATGTGAATCAGACTGATACCTTAAGCTGACAGGAATCTGCTGTAAATGATACAGGCTGTAGAAAATTTGAGGCCAACTTCTTACTACTTACTCTTGGATTTCGTATAATACTTGGTAATCTAATAATTAAAAATCAGCACAATATCCTCTAGTGGCACTGCAGAGCCACTATAACAGCAGTACATTTGTATTTTTGCTTCATCATGGATCAGCAGCTTTTGGCACCATGTATGGGTCAGCACTGAACACAAATACTTACCAGTCGAGAGAATTTTATTTAGTCAGAGTCTAACCAGAGACCAGTGCTGAATCTGAGGTGCTGCTGTAGACCAGGCACATCTGTAGAACCTTGAAGTTCCCATTCCGTAAGCAAAATTTTTGCTTTTAAATGTCATATGAAGAAATGCACATAACTTTCCAAAATAGCTTGCTTATATTTAGAAGGCAGTGAATAGATTTAAAAACCTGTATTTGGAGTTACAGTTTACTTCTGTCATGCTGCATGCATGTGAAGCCTGGGCTGGAGAAGTAGACTTTTTTGGGAAGCAAATGGCAAACATAACTTTATGCATCTGGAAGTTCAAGCCAGTACACTGCTGAGCGTCTGTACAGCTGGCTGTGGTCCACAGGACTATTACCAGAGCTCTTCCTGGTAGCTGAATGACAGAGAACTAGCCAGAGCAATCTTCATAGCTCTCAGTGGAAGACCTAGGAGAGGTCAAAGGATGAGAATTTTTGTCAGTGTAAGTAAAGACTGACAGTCACTTCATGGGGAATGAAAGCATGATGCTAGGAAGCCAGTGGAGTGGTAGAAATGTGAATTCTGATTTGCTTTCAGTATCTTGTAATAGAGAAACAGGCTCTACTCCTGGTTACTTCAGGAGGTTACTTGGAGGGAAGAATGTGACTTGTTTCCTTCTCTTGCAACACAGAGAAATGGGGTGAAACTTCATATGTTCACAGATGTATCTTGGCTGCTATGGGTGATCAGAAACCTGCGGCAGAAACTATGGAAAGCTTACAGAACAGAGGGATCACAGAACAAAATTCCTTCTGTGTTGCCTGATCCTTTAGATCGAATATTTGGGCTTACTGCATATTTTATAGGGGCTGTGTCTCATCTGAAATACTAGTATGCCTGCCTGGCTGAAAAATTAATCAATTTGGAAACTGAAGTACTTTGCACAACACAGCAATACCCACTTTTTCAGTAGAACAATTAAATCTGAGATACAGCAGTTCTGACAGACTAGCGTTTATGACTGCAGTCAGCGTTGTATAATTTGTAATGGCCTTTTCTAGGAAGAAGCTTTTATGGTGCAACTAGATTGTAAAAGATGGAAAGAGAAAATTGAATTCCCTGTAGCTATGTGTACTTCACACAAGGCCACAGTTCAAGTTTTTTTTTCCCCACTATGGAACTGTTTTCTCAAGTATGACATTATAAAGGACTTCCTGGTAATGAGGCATAGTGAATAAGGAGTTTGAGGCACTCACAGTAATGTTGTGATTGGGTATGTAAAAAGTGACAAGGAAAAGTATACTAGAATAATATTTCTTCAGGGGAATGAAAAATTATAAGGAAAGTTTTTAGATGTGGCAGAAAATATCAAAGAAAAGTATTATACTACTAAACTTAATAGTTTGTCTTAACACTGAACTAGCTTTAGACTATTGTGCAGAGCCCTATTCTAGTTGTGGAAGCAAACACAGCTTGCATGTTGTCCTTCAGTTGAGTTGCTTTTTAAAGCAATTCATAATTCTAAAATTTAGTGGGGTGGATGAGCAGCTGGTAGGAGAGATGCATCTGCTTTCTACCCCTTGTATTTTTATCAGATAAGCTAGAAAATTGCTGCATAGACTGCTGTGGCTATTTTGTGTATGTACACTATGGTGTTGCACAAGTTTGAAGTTTTGCCTGTGAAAGGGGGGAGAAGAAACAAAACCTGCTGCTGACTTGTATAAATAATGTCTGATGTCTGTGACCTACTGCTTGCTTTTGTTGTCTAAACCATCTGCATCTCAAACCCAGTTGTATATAATCTCAGAGTTGTGTGTTGAATCTTACTATTAGATGTTTTATCTCTTCAACCTTACAGAAAGAGTTTTCCTCCTTGTATGCCACATCTGGTTCTGTCAGCTGGGAAAACAGCAGGAAAACAAATCTCCATAAGTCTTGTAGAAGGTGGCATTACTGTAGAGTGCTCCATGCTAACTGTTGTCTTAAGTTCTGCTTGAATCTGCGTTGTCTGGATGATGTTTTCATTTCCTGCCTGCTGTCTGAGTGGATATAAAAGCTAAAATATCTCGCATATGGTGTAGCTTTTTTGTTACAGCCCAACACAGTGTCTATAAACAAGAAGCTCTTAGTGCCTTTTCTTAAGACCTGTGAAGCTGTGAACTCCATATAAAAGCAACTTTGTTAGGGGCTGTAAATGTCTTAACACAGTTCTGGGGAAAACCTGTTAGCTGTCCCCCTAAGCATAGTTGTTCTCTTTTCTTTCAGCAATTCCAGTCCGAAGCTCCAGGCTACCGTTGTTGTCTGATGCCATGCCAGCACCAGCTCATCTGTTTCCATTGATTCGTAACTGTGAGATTAGCAGACTATGCAGTACTGTGTGTTACTGCCACCATAAACATCTGTGCTGTTTATCATCTCATTTTGCTCACAGTCACTTCAGATATGCACCTCAGAAGAAATTTGTGGCCCTTTATAGGCCAAAGGAAAACTTTAATCACTTCATTCACGCAAGGGATTATGCTTCTACGCCACAGAGATTTTACCTCACTCCTCCACAGGTCAACAGCATTCTGAAGGCAAATGAATACAGTTTCAAAGTCCCCGAATTTGATGGTAAAAATGTAAGTTCTGTCCTTGGCTTTGATAGCAACCAGTTGCCTGCTAATGCTCCGATAGAAGACCGGAGGAGTGCTGCCACTTGCTTACAGACAAGAGGGATGCTTTTGGGTGTATTCGATGGCCACGCAGGTTGTGCTTGTGCTCAAGCTGTCAGTGAAAGACTTTTTTATTATATTGCTGTCTCTTTGTTACCTCATGAGACTTTACTTGAAATAGAAAATGCTGTGGAAAGTGGCAGAGCTCTGTTGCCCATTTTACAGTGGCACAAGCATCCCAATGATTATTTTAGCAAAGAAGCTTCCAAGCTTTACTTCAATAGTTTAAGAACTTACTGGCAGGAGCTCATTGATCTCAACAGTGGAGAGACTACTGATGTGAAAGAAGCTTTAATTAATGCTTTCAAGAGGCTTGATAATGATATTTCTTTGGAGGCTCAAGTAGGAGATCCAAATTCTTTTCTCAACTACCTAGTACTGCGAGTAGCGTTTTCTGGTGCAACTGCCTGCGTGGCCCATGTGGATGGTGTTGACTTGCACATTGCAAACACAGGTGACAGTAGGGCGATGCTTGGTGTTCAGGAGGAAGATGGATCTTGGTCTGCAGTTAATCTGTCATATGACCACAATGCACAAAACGAACATGAAGTGGAACGTGTGAAAATGGAGCATCCGAAGTCTGAAGAGAAAAGTCTTGTGAAACAAGATCGTCTCTTAGGTCTGCTGATGCCTTTCAGAGCTTTTGGTGATGTGAAGTTTAAATGGAGTATAGAACTACAGAAGAGAGTCATAGAATCAGGCCCAGATCAGCTGAATGACAATGAGTATACAAAGTTTATTCCTCCGAACTATCACACTCCCCCGTACCTCACAGCTGAGCCAGAAGTCATACATCACAGATTACGGCCGCAGGATAAGTTCCTGGTTTTGGCCACAGATGGGCTGTGGGAGACGATGCACAGGCAAGATGTGGCTAGAATTGTGGGGGAGTACCTCACCGGTGTTCACCATCAACAGCCAATAGCTGTTGGTGGCTATAAGGTAACTTTGGGACAGATGCATGGTCTCTTAACAGAAAGGAGAGCAAGAATCTCTTCAGTGTTTGAAGATCAGAATGCAGCAACTCACCTGATACGTCATGCAGTGGGTAACAATGAGTTTGGCACTGTGGATCATGAGCGACTGTCCAAGATGCTTAGTCTTCCAGAAGAGCTGGCTCGAATGTATAGAGATGACATTACAATTATTGTGGTGCAGTTCAACTCGCATGTTATAGGTGCATGTCAAAATGAGGAACTGTGAATTTAATAGAGCAAACTGGTTACCGAAGTTTGAACAATGGCCAGTATGAGCAGCAAATAAAAAACAACCACCCAACAATAAAACTCCAAAAATCCCATGGCAAACAAATTGGTTGCTTGCTAGTTTCAGCATATGTATTGTTCTGCCTTCCCCCAGAGCTCTAAATAAATGGGAAGTGCTATTGACCTAATACAAACGTGAAGAGGATGTCATGGCTTGGGAAAAGAGGTTTTTGTAATAACTTTGCACTATTGAGTTAATGAATGCTGCTAGAACAATGTCTTGAATTTGGCAGACTTGGATGAGGGAGGGAAGGAGGATAAATAATTCACTATCAAAGGTCTGGCTGTTCAAGAAACAAAGCCTGTTTATAAATATCTGTAAATATCTACACATTATCTTAAAGAAAAGATGAGTAAAAAGGAGTATTGTTGAATTCTTACAGGGCTAATTCTTGCAAAGCAGATATGGTTATTTGTGAATGTACTGTCTACTGTTTCTTCTAAGCAGAAGGTCATTTTAACCAAGGAAGTCTTCAGTGTAACAAAGTTGTCTCACTTTCATACAGACAATGTCATACATTTAAGGATATTTGTCTAAGTGTTGACTTTCAATGCAAGTGTAAGCCATAATCAATACCTGAGATTCTGTTACAGCTTAGTTGTATCTTACGGTTACTTCTAAACTTCTTGTGCATAAATAGCTTCTTGGCTGTGGGTTTCTGCACAGCTTGTAGGGCAGTAATACAATACAATGTGTAGTAAGATACCAGGTGACTTTGTGGAAGACTTCAGTTTGCAATATGAAGGAGCTTTGAGACATTTTGAAAAGTCAGTGTTGTTGGTCAAGACTGTTGGCTTTCCTAAAGGTCATGTCCTTCATGGACTCTGCCCTTGTCTGGTGTTAATTATCTGGTAAATAAATTTTCACCTGAAAAGATGTGGAAATCATTGCTAATCTCTTTGTGGCTTTGTAATTGCACTTATTTTCATTTTGGCTATTTGAAATTGTCACATATTGGATGTCTTGCACTTGAATTCATATTTGTAAGTTGGGTTAAACTACAAATTACAAAAAATTGAAGTATGGCTTAAATAGTGTTTTAGGTGGGGAACCTGGCATGCACATGTGTGTTTAATGGCTTCTTTTAGCACCTGCTTTATTAGCAGATCTGTATTTCTGGACAGCTGGTGTACGCATGTTCTTACAGTCCAGAATGCTATCACAGAGCAACCTCTGAAATGGGTCTCTCTGGCTTGTAATTGTTGAGTCTGAACTTGAAAGATTGGCTGTAACTTGTGCACCTGAAGTTGTTGGGCTTGAAACTGTGAGAAGCAGGAACTGACAACTCTTAATTGCATCTGTTTTAGGTATGTTGCATTGTGTACAGATTTAGGTTAAAAACCTGAATGGTGACTGAAATACCAGCTTGTGATGACTGAGAGAACACACGTAACCGGCTGCCTGTGTTGTAGAGAACAATGATAGGTCAGCATGGCATTTCAGTTAAAATACCTCTGTAGTCTTCATCACAGCTAATTAAATCAACACTTTAAAAACCCAGCTTACTTTGGTTAATGTGGCATTTTCTGCTAAATACAAATATTGACAATTAATGCTACTGTTACATAGGGTACACTTAGTTTGAGCAATGAACCTGTGCTGTGGTAAACGCTGGCTCCTCAAACTCACAAGTGCTATGTGTAGTCAGTGGCCTGCAGCTTTAATGTGTCTGTTTCTTCACCCAGCCTTAAGTATCAGGATCAATGTTGCTGTAAGGTTAACAATATCCAAGTTCACATTCAAGATGTGCACAGCCCTTTATTTGAAGGGAAAATGGGAACTCTGAAATGCTTAGACAAGTACTGGCTGTTGACATTGCTTCTGTATGTTGTGTTTTGGTGACTGTGTTATTAAGCTAGGTCAGTAGACTTTATGTTCTATCATTCATACACAGTATGTATCTAAGCTGTTGCAATATTTAATTTTTACTGTTAAAGCTCTATTACATGTATTGATGTATTTAACCTATGATTATTGATAAGGATTTGGTACAAGTTATAGCTAGAAGAAATGAACATTGGTCCCATGGATGCAATTTCTGTTGAGGAAAAGCTGTTTTTTGTAGTAAGGATATGTATAGGATCAGACAAAATATTTATGTATTGCTTGGAGGCTTGCTCAGTATGTA